AATATTTATTAATATTTTAGTGTTTTTTTGTACCAATAATTGTACGCAAATCAGTAAAGATTGGCTCCTGTGGTTTTTAGTTGTACTGAACAGAATTAAACAGAAATGTACTCAATTCTGTTTCTTCTCCTACTTTCAGTGTAGGGTCACAAGTAGCCGGTACCTCTGGCAGTCAATGTGTGAGAGGCAGAGTACTTTCTGGACTGGTCACCAGTCCTTCGCAGAGCTAAATGTAATAAAATATTAGAGATGCATGATGTTGGATTTTTGGACCATATCTGATATGCCAATATGTTAAAACGTAACCGATACCAATACCGATTATTTTTATTTTTTTTCCCTAGACCTGCTTACAGAGACTGCACAGCTTTCTCTGCTGTGGAATTAAAAGACATTATTCTGCATGGTCTCTGTCAGTTTGACCTGTTACCAAATGCAGATGTAACACTTCAACATGGATTATGTTTAATGTCAAATTTATTGAATTTTCTCTCTTTAACACAATGACAACTCTTGAACAGTCATATAAAAACAGCATGTTTTTATATATATAGTCTGTATATATACATATATATATGCATATATATATATATATATATATATATATATATATATATATATATATATATATATATATATATATAACAGCGTCTTTTATATCAGTGAGTTATTTTGAAGGAATGGCCTATGTTCGATATTTAACTTTATCGCTAATATCGGCCGATCCCGATACCGTGCCGATAATATCGTGCATCCCTATAAAATATAGAATAATTTTCGCTCTCACTTACACCTAGTGACAATTTTGGAGTTGCCAGTTAGCTCGACATGCATGTTTTTTGGTCAGTGGAGAAAACCAGGGCATGAAAACTCCACTCAGAAAACCTGCAGTCATGTTCTACACCTGCACCCTTCTTGCTGCGCTGCATGCCACAATAAAAGCTTATTAAAGGCACACGGGTGCAATGAATTACCTTAATCTAAAATCTGATCAGAAAATTCAGCTTCATGAAATATGCCTTAAATATTTGACATGATCTTGAACTGTTGCTGACTCGACGCTTCTTTGACTTTGGGACGGAAACGGAGCACAAATGTTGCAGTTCTTGGACAGTCATCTTGTAGAGTCCTCACAGCGGTGTTATAGTTGTAAAAATTATTTAGGTAGATAGATTTAGTTTTTTTAAATCTTATGATGGGTGTCACTGGACTGGGCGGAGTTTTTAAATGTTCGAGTAAACATTTAGAAAAACTTTAGCAGCTTTGCATTTACACTCAAGGTCATCACATCCGAGCACATTACAGCAGTTTAACATAATGTGCTATGTTTGCTTACACTTTAATTTAGAATTGTGATTAAATGGCTTAAATGGAGAAGTGCTGGGCAAAAACAGCAAAGAAAGCAAGAAACTAAAAAAAAGCTTCTGACTGCTTAACACATCAGGTGAAATTCTCAAGCTGAAAGTAAATGATCTTTAAAAGTCCAACTTTAGGAAGTTGTACGTATCGTCAGTGGAGGAGGAGAAGTGGAGATAGTGGAGGAGGACTGCAGTCAGGCAGGTGGAGAGCAGCAAGATGGCCTGAAGACCAGCTAAGAGATCACAGGAGTTCAGGGTGACGCTCGTCTTGGAGGCACGGAGCAGAAACAGATAATACGATGGGTATCTAATGTCCCAGCAGCAAAAGGAGCACTTCCTCTGGAGCCCAACAGAGGAAACGGACCACAGCTGCTGCTCGTTGGCACACACTGAACCTGCAGAAGGAAAACACTGGAACCCTTCTCATAAACAGGGTTTAAAATAATCACGTTTTATCCAAAACATTCTGGCTCGACTCGAGGGCCTAAACGCCTGAACACAACACAGAGACACTGCAGCTCGTTTGGATGCACAAAAAGGTTCAACTGTTTGGCCGAGAGTTAAGTGGAGAACTTTCTAATGGCTGGTTCAGGACAACCCACACCCATCATCACACTGATTGCCACACACTTCTCTGTTGCCTTTTTGGCCCCACTTTCTCCTGATATTTTGTTCTCCGTAATGATCGTCCTGTCTCTTGCAGTCACACGAGCACACGCTGTTGTACGCCAACACACCCCCACAATGGATTGAGAACAGACGCAGTGTTAATGTGGCTCCATGGTAAATGTTGTAAGTCCCAGTCGCCCCGTCCTGCCAGCTTTGTCTGCCCTCAGCTGTTCCGGCCCGTTGCCTGTATTGTGCTGCCGGGCTCATTACCAGAAGCGCTGTGGCTCAAAACCTCCTCACTAATAGGCCCAGAGAGAGACAGAGAAGAGTTATTTCTGCTGCGACTGGTGCGTAGCAGGGTGGTGGTTTCTTTTTAACTCTTTCAGGAGTTAGGATGGGAATGTTTGCAACTCCTCTGCTAAAGATTTTTTTTTTTTTTAAAGGCTTATTTTAAGTGTTTTTTCTCATCTATGCATGAATGTATGGATGTGTGTCTTCATGACTGGAGAGGAAAGGGGTGTCCAGTTAGTTTGTGGCACAGATCACAGTACGATGCTTGACGTTTCATATTATCCTGGGTGTGCAGAGCTGAAAGAAACAAAACATGCTGATTGGCTGAAAGACTTTGGGGCAAAGCCATTTATTCAGCTTGATTAAAAACCACGTGTGAGTCTTTATAAAAGAGTAAAATTATAAAATACACATACTTTTTCATAATTAATTGTTTGTTTGTTTTTAATCTCAATTGGACCAAAACAAAAACAAATAAACAAGCAAAAAAAAAGTGCTTATTTCCATGCAGAGCAGAAATCCTAAAACATTTTTAAATCACAGAAATGATCTGAATGATCCGTGAGCATTTTTAACATGTGTTAAATTAATGAAAAATAGGCACAAGATGAAGTAAATAACAATAATAACAATACAGCTTTAATAGTTGGTAAAATTACAAACCTTGAGTATTATTTTATTTTGATTTATTTAACAGTGGGCATCAAATCCAGATGATTTAAAGTTAAAAAATTATATAATTATTATATAACCATATTAATCCATAACAGCTCAATCTGCTAAGGAGAAGGGAACAAAATGTATGAAAGCTAAATTGTCTGAACCAGTAGTTTCCAAACATTTAAACATTTATGACAAAATGATAAACCTCACTATAAGAAAAAATTAACAACTTGGCTTGTTAAATGACATTAACAGAATAAACAAGCTAAATATAAACTGCTGTGAAGGGCTGGAGACATGTCCAGTGTGTCCCCTACCACTCCCATTGACTGCTCCAGTGACCCCATGACCCAGAAAGGAAGAACCGGGTAAAGATAATGGATGGATGAATGGATGAATGGATGAATGGATGGACGGATGGATGGA